TTGACATACAATTTCCTCTCTTTTCTGGTAGAGAGCAGGCATACAACTGAACTACAAGTTGAACAACAGCAGTGACCCTATCTAGAAAGTAAAAACCTGACAGAGTGGCAAGATTCTGAAAATAAATTAATGTGCAAAACAAGGGTTGTTAAATGTTAGTTGTGAGACATCAGAAGAAATCCTGGAACCAAAACCAGAACCATATATTCTTGAAACTAACAAGTTACTATGTCTAATCATTTATATGTTACCGTGTCTAATCATTTATATTAACATGGACGTCTGATCACATAATAATAATGGTGGATGTCTGATACCATTTTATTTTAGTGAACAGCACAAACATGTTATGAAATCCTAAGATTTTATAATTCCATATTGATGAAGAATTGAAGAAACTAAACGAATTAAAGCGATATCTAATTTCCATCAAGTGATGGACCGCAAACAGAAAGAAGTAGATGCAGGAGCATAAAGTGGTACATAAAAGCACTTACACGTACATGTTTGTGTGATTTTCATTATAATGTATATGCAATATTTTCTCAATTTTGTACCATATGATCATTTGTTTAATTCAATTTCATATACACTAAATTATGAACCTAGAGCATCTTCAATGATTTGAGATAGAGTGACAATTCCAATTTGTAGACAATTGAATGTCAAGAAACTGGACAATGTGGGTGATAAAGAATTGCGCACAACTGCAGAATCAGTTAAATGAAGGGATAATTTCAGTTGAGAAAAAGGTACAAAGCAAAAATCCACATATGATCATGCACTTTCTCCTCCCTTTAACATGATGGTTTTTAGTTAGTTGTAGATGTCTTATGGACAAAATTTTTATATAGTGAAAAATTCAGCTAAGATTGGCAAAGTCGTATTCTAATTATTTAGTTATATCTTTAGTCAATTTTTCTTCCAAACAGAAGTTGGAGTGCTCTGATGCCCATTCAGTTGCTTTACTCTTCCAAGAGCAGGTTCTACTTGAGCAGCCTAAATGATCAAGATTATAAGTAAATCTGGTATTTTGTTTGTGTGAGATAGGTGTTATAGTTTGTATTGTGTAAGAGTATACTTGCTATATATGATATGTTTATACAAATTGGAAAGAATGTATTGTGTAAGAGTATACTTGCTATATTTGATTATGACCTGGTAAGGTTAGAGCCTATGTATATTGTTGATCATTTGCGAAGAATATTGACTTACAGATTTGATTTTTTGTTACCTTTAGTTTTACATGCTTCTGAATTTAAGATGTGCTCAATCTTATGGTTGTGTGGTTCAAGTTCTCTTTGCATTTAGACAGGTGAGAGATTGATTGAGAACTTTATAAGCATTGGAATTTTATTATTTGCAAAATGACTTGAATGTGTTAAGGCTTTCGCCTAAATTTGACTTGCCTTATTTTTTGCATGTCTACACTATAGTGAGACAGTGACTGCAAGTAACAAAGAGAGGAATTCCAGTTGCCTATCAAGATAGTCCTCAAGTGGGCACACATCGTAATCATCCACAATTTCTATTTTCTGGGTTTGTGACTGTTATTACTTCTCTCCATTAAACTGCGAAACTTAATAGGTTCATCATATTTATATATAGAATTGTTTACCAATTGCTTATCATATCCTTGAATTTTTTTTTTTTTTCATGGTGATCACTCTTGATTTCACTGTGAATGGAATTTGGGATAGAAAACTTTACATTTTCCATGTGGTCGTTGTCCTGGATAACTAATAAAAATAAAAATAAAATAAAAAACTTTGTAAAAGATGCAAGGTATGGATTTATGTTAGCCTTTATTTTTTATTTCATTTTTTCTTTGATTTTTTTTAAACATGATTGTGTAAAACATGCTAATTATTATCAAAGCAGAATATGATTTAATGAAAATTATTTTGTTTTAGTTCTGGAAATGAGATAAGGGATGGATCACCGTCAAGAGGTGAGAGAGAAATAGAGAAGCAGATCCATAATCAGACTGGATATGCTCATAGGTTGATTATGGATCCACTGCTACAAAGATATCTTCCTGTTCCCGGTGCCAAATTGGAAACTGCTCAAGCTTAGGTCCTTTTCTCATGCTTTCTATTATTTGCACATAATTTTTTCCATATTCAGATTTTGATGTTAACATCTAGGAATGCATGGAGTAAAACTTGCAAGTTACCTGTATCTATTTCTGAATTATATGTAAATGGCATGTTACTTTTAAAGTTCACATTTGTTTCCCATGGGTTTATGTTTCCATTAGTTTACATCATATATGGAAATTAATTATTAATGATCACAGTATGGATTATTATATGCAGGAGACATACAACAATACGACATCATTGATATCAAACAGCTACAAGAAAATGGCCTTTCTATCTGGCCCCTTCTATCTAGCTGAACAGCAGGAGTTGCAGAGTTGGCTTTTGTTGGGATTAGGCCCAACACCTGCTTCGGGCCACATGCAGCAGACCCAGTTATACACCCACAAGCCCAAGATGAGGAGACATGCCCACGTGGGCAATAACACGTGGACCAATTGGATGAACACATGCTGAGCTCATGTCAGCAATTGGGGTTATAAATACCCCTAACTACCTTCGATGAAGGTATTTAATCTCTACTCCTCTCTCTCTCTGCAATTACTCTTTGAAAGCATCTCTCTTTAGAATTTCAAGTATTGCTGACTTAAGCGTCAGAGTGTTTTCTCCGAGGAAACATCCTAAGGAATTTTAGGTGTAGAAGCAGCTGAAGACTTCAACAGTGTTGGATCGTGAAGCTGCCCAAACATTTGGCGCCGTTTGTGGGAAACTGAATAAGAAGTTGTGTAACTTAACCTGCTGAAAGATAAAATGGTTCGTACCTTTACTAGAAGTCGCCCCCCGAAAAATGAAATGGATGAGCAGGAGGACACTCAGCTATCTGAGCTCGGCTTGAATGGTTTTAGGCCAATGCCGAGAAACCTTTTCGTTGGAGGAGCAGAACAGGATCAATTAAGTGGAATAGATGATGATAAAAGAACACCAACTAGATATGCAACTCAACCTGAACAATTCAAAATTCCAACAGGAACAAGGCAAAGACATCCCAGGCAAGGCAGTTTACAACATGAATGACCTGAAAGGTCAACAGAGCCTACTCGGACAACCGAGCTCGAAGAGAGAACCAGAGTTCTTGAAATGGCAATGGGTAAAATCCTTGCCCGCCTGATCCCTGATGACCCCTTAATTCCTTTGCTGAATAAGGATGCACAGCCAACTGCAGTAGTTGCAACCCGTAACTCCTCGGCTTTCAGCAACGTGGTGGTCCCAACTAGACCAAGGGGAAGTGGGAGGTTAAACCCAGAACCTAGCTCATCCAGGCATAATGAAGAGCTGCTAAAGAACGTTGACCTCGAAAGACAGCTCAAAGATGTGTAGAAGTCTATTAACGAGCTAAAGAGTCCTAGGTCACGCTAGTAGGCTCTTGACTTGGATAGTGCCCCCCTCAACTTGTCCATCACGGCTGAACCATATCAAGAGGGATTTAAGATTCCTCATTTGGAGACATACGATGGCTCCGGAGACCCGGATGAGCATTTGCATACTTACCAAGCCATTATGAGAATCTAGAACGCCATGATGTGTAAGGTCTTCCCTACGACCTTGAAGTCAACGGCCAGAAGATGGTACCACAAGTTACCTAGACATTCCATATCCTCATATTCTGAGCTCGCCACTCTGTTTTCGAACAAGTTCTCGAGTCAAAGAGAAATTAAGCGCACCACTAGCGAGCTGATGCAAGTTCATCAGAAGGAGGGAGAGTCTTTAAGGGACTATATGCAATGGTTCAACAAGTCCACTCTGGACATTGATAATGTCCCAGATACCATCTGCTTATCAACTCTGTTGCATGGCCTTAAACCTGGCCAGTTTCTAGACGACCTACTCGAGAATCCACCTAAGTCGTGGAATGAAGTAAATGACAGGTTGACAAGTTTCATACTATTCGAAGATTTTCAATCTTCCAAGAGATGAGCTGATGATAGACAGGGTAAAGAGCCCAACAGCCTGAAGGAAGAGATGAAAAGAAAAAGCAGAAAGTGGGCGAGCCGAGAGGAAAACCGCCATCCTATCCAAAGTATGACAATTACATTCCCCTGAGCTCGTCAAGGTCTCATATATTGGTGCAGATACAACACTAGGTCAAAAGACCCCCTCCCCAAACACATGATTCTTCACGAGCTGACAGAAGCAAGTATTGTGACTACCACCGTGGATACGGCCATAACACAGAAGACTGTCAAAGCCTGAAGGACGAGCTTGAATTCTTAGCTCGCAATGGAAAATTGGAGGGGTATGTACAGAAGCCTTACATTCGGCAGCCCACCCAGACCCATTTCGTGCAAGAGTACGGTCGATCTCAAGCACTTGGATATCAGCTCGGCAACAATCCAATTCCTTACCAGGCGAGTCAACACTCGTCCGAGCCGAACAAAGCATACAAGGGACACCCATTCAATAGGCGAGGGCAAGGACAGAAGACATCCACACAAAGTCAAAAGGACCACAGAGGGGTTGGATAAAGTGGAATACCCCCACCATCTAACACAATCAATATGATTTCTGGTGGTATGCATTCAAGAGGCCAGAGTGCTTGAGGTCGTAAGGCTTATGCTCGCCAAGTAATGGTGGTGAACAAGAATCGCCCTCTTAAGCACCCATTTGAAGAAGCAAAATGGGAAAATGCACCTATTACATTCAGCACGGTAGACTACAAGCGAGCAGACGGAGAGCCCGACGTTATGATGCCTCATGCAGATCGTTTTGTGGCAACGGTCTATATAGGCAATCATAACGTCAACAAGGTCTTTATTGATACTGGTAGTTCACCAGATATCCTGTATTGGAGCTGCTTCCAAAAGATGCAGCTGAATTCGAGCTCGTTACAGAAGTATGAAGGGCCCATCTATGGGTTTAACAATCAACCCGTCCCGGTTGAAAGGGTAATTACCCTTCCCATCTATGTGGGCTTAGAACCACGCTTCAGGATGGCCTCAGTCAACTTTTTAGTCGTCAAAATGGAATCAACCTTCAATGCCATACTAGGAAGAGCCACCCTCTACGAGTTGAAGGCAATCATCTCGCAACCTCATCTTTGTATGAAGTTCCCAACTCCTCAGGGGGTAGGAGTGCTTAAAGGGAACCAGAAGATGGCCAGAGCTTGCTATCAAGATACATTCAAGAAGGTTGAGCTCGCTGCAGCCCTGAGAGGCTCTTCTAGAAATCACAGGCCGACTCAGTCCGATCACCAAACAATGAGCATATCAGATATTGAGCATCGACCTGAGGGTGTCGAACAGAAGGCCGAGCCAGTAGAACCAATGGAAACGGTCCCTTTGAACCCTGACATTCTAGAAAGAACAGTTAAGGTTGGCACCAAGCTCACAGCGGAGGAATGAGCAGAGCTTCTGAAGTTTCTAAGGGCTAATCGAGATGTGTTTGTGTGGACGACGGATGAAATGCCTGGCATTCCAGCAGAGTTAGCAGTCCACAAGCTCAGCATGAACCCTACCAGAAGGTCGGTGGTTCAGAAACGTCACCTTTTTGGTCTTAAGAAGCAAGCTGCTATAGATGAAGAAATACAAAAGCTACTACAAGCAGGCTTCATCAGGAGAGTTGAATATTCTGAGTGGGTGTCCAATCCTGTGCTCATCAAGAAACCAAACGGCAAGTGCAGGATGTGTGTTGATTTCACCAACTTAAATGAGGCGTGTCCGAAAGACCCTCACCCCTTGCCAAATGTTGAGAAGTTAGTAGAGCGAGCAGCCGGACATGAATGGATGAGTTTCCTTGACGCCAGCTCGGGTTATCACCAGGTTCAGTTGCTGCTAGATGATCAGGAGAAAATAGCTTTTTACGCTGGTGACGTAATCTACTGCCATGTCATGATGCCATTTGGCCTGAAAAATGCGAGCGTGACATATAAGAAGCTGGTGCAGGTCTTCTTTAAGCTTCAGATCGACAGGAATATTGAAGTATATATGGACGACATGATAGTCACCAATAAGCGAGCTGAAGATTACATAGACGACCTGAATGAAACATTTCAGAACTTGCACCGAGCCCAAATGAAGCTGAATCCCCTGAAATGCATGTTTGCTGTAGAATCAGGAAAGTTCCTAGGGTACATGGTATCCAAGAAAGGAATTGAGGTAAATCCAGAGAAGGTTCAAGCCATTCAGTAGATGAAGCCTCCCAAGACCGTAAAAGATGTGCAGCGTCTGACAGGTTGTGTGGCTGCGTTGCACAGGTTCATAGCCAGATCAGCAGAAAGGTGCCTCCCATTCTTTAAAGCCTTGCGAGAGCCCAAGAACTTTCAGTGGACCGATGAGTGTCAGCAGGCATTTGACGAGCTCAAACAATATCTGGCGTCAGCACCCCTGCTTTCCAAGCCTGTGGAGAGGGAGAGCTTGTACCTATATCTAGGGGTTACAGAGGAGGTCGTGAGTTCGGTTTTACTCAGAGAACAGAATAAACAGGAAAAGCCCATCTACTACATGAGCAAAGTTTTACAAGGCGTAGAGCAGAACTACCCACTAGCAGAAAAAGCTGCTTTTGCCCTGGTCTACATGGCTCGTAAGCTGAGAGCTTACTTCCAATCACATCAAATTATTGCATATACCGATCTGCCATTGAGGAAGATATTGCAGAAGCCGAAACTTTCTGGTTGGCTCATCGGCTGGAGCGTCGAGTTGAGTGAGTATGACCTCAAATTCCAGCCGCGCACAACCATAAAAGGCCAGGCTGTGGCGGACTTCCTAGTGGAGTGCCTTACGGCGACGGTGGAAGAAAGGGCACCAGTATACCCGGTCTGGGTTTTGTATGTAGATGGAGCTGCTAATGACGAAGGATCGGGTGCGAGGGCATTGCTAGTGGGCCCAGATGGCTTCAAATCCGAGCATGCATTAAGGTTTAAGTTTCAAATAACAAATAATGCTGTAGAATATGCAGCCCTCATATATGGTTTGAAGCTAGCATCCAAGCTGAAAGTTCAAAGCATCAAGGTTTTCAGTGATTCTCAGCTCATTGTGGGCAAAGTGAATGGGAGTTGTGAAATCAGGGATCCTCAGCTCGGTCGTTATGCCTCTATGGTCAACAGATTGAAATTAGGATTTGCCTCTTTCCAGATCGACAAGATACCCAGAGCAGATAACCAATGACCTGATGAACTATCAAAATTAGCCTCCTCGCAAGATATCAACCCCCAGAGATCGACAACTGTGGAGGTACTTGATGCCCCGAGCTACATCGATTTCACAATCGAGTGTCAACTGCTAAGCACAGATCCCTTCTTGCCGAGCTGGACTATCCCGCTCATAGAGTATCTGTAAAGTGGCGAGCTGCTTGAAGACCCATCCGCAGCAAAGTTGATTAAACACAGGGTGGCACATTTCACCTTGTTAGATAATCAGCTCTACAAGCGAGCAGCCTCAATGCCCCTACTACGCTGCCTTACTCCTTATGAAGCTGAATACGTTATGAGGGAAGTTCATGAAGCAGTATGTGGCACACACCTAGGTGGTAAAACATTAGCTTGGAAACTCCTGAGACATGGGTATTACTGGCCTACTATGGTCGAGAACGCACAGAACTATGTCAAAAAATGCCCGACCTGCCAGTTCAACGCCGATGACATTCACATGCCAGGTATCTGAGCTCATTCTAAAGTTCGTGCAAACTTCATGTTTGTCTATAAACTGAGCATAAATATCTTCGTTGAAACAGGAGAAATGCTCTCATCACCCTAGCCTTTTGCTCAATAGGGAGTCGACCTGCTTGGCCCTTTTGTCAAAGGCAAAGGAGGATGCACTTACCTAGTTGTCGCGGTGGATTACTTCACCAAATGGATAGAAGCCAAACCATTATCCACGACAACAGAAAAGAAAATAGAGGAATTCCTGTTCAATTCAATATTATGCAGGTATTCTTTGGTGGCTTAAGCCATTTGTACATTGTATACAAATATAATTTGTAGCTCAACTCGGTCATCTGTGTACAGGTTCGGCATACCTAAATGGATCATTATTGACAATGGTCCACAGTTCCGAGCCGCGGCACTGAGGTCGTTCTGCAACAACTATGGCATTGAGCTCGCCTTGACATCTGTATATACCCCACAATCAAATGGACAGGCCGAGTCCGCCAATAAAATCGTCTTGCAAGGCCTCAAGACGCATGTCTTAGCCGCACATTCTAATTGGGTTAATGAGCTCAATAAAGTGTTCTGGTCATGTCGCACTACACCCAGCTCGGCCACAGGCGAAACCCCATTCATCCTTGCCTATGGAGCTGAGACCGTCATCCCTATAGAGATCGAATTGCCATTCGACAGAGCAGATCGGCACAGCGATCCTAGTAATGAGCAACTTTTAAGAGAGAACTTGGACCTTGTAGAAGAGGTTAAGGAGATGTCCCGAACAAGAAACAAGGCACATCAAAGTCGTGTTGCTATATTTTATAATAAGAGTGTCCGAGCTCGTCAATTTTAGGTTGGCGATCTAGTTTACACAAGACTAAGCTCACTAACGCTTTCTCACATATGGTGAAACTTGCACCGAACTGGGAAGATCCTTATATGGTTATTTGTGTCAAGCGACCTGGGTCTTACCAGTTGGTGGATCTACAAGGTCGTCCATTATTATTCATTTGGAACATACACAACCTTAGAAAGTTTTACAATTAACATGTATGTTATTATCTTATTCAAGTTACACAACCTTATTCAAGTTATTGTCAATCAAATATAAATGGCAATACAAAGGGTAAACACAACAATCAATATAGAAATTGCAAAGGAAAATGTTCAAACTTGTATTTTCATCAATGCTTTTTTACATTTGGAATACATGATGAGTTGGTTCGCTGACCAATACAAAAATACAAAAAATAATACAATAGAAACAAAGAAAATCCTAAGCTAATCATCTGTCAAGTCAACGGGGATGGATGCGTCAATGGGCGCAGCAACAGATCGAGCAGGAGATGACCGATCTAAAGGAGAAAGAGCAGGAGCAGCGGCTGGCACGGGCTGAGAAGATGGGGGAGTGCTGGAAGGCTCCGCAGGCACATCCTAGGGCTCTGCCACCCAAGCATCAAAGCTTGGCAGCCCCTCTGTGTCTTCCCCCTCTTCCACAATAGAAGGGGGCCATACGGGCAGCCCCTCTTCATTGAGCTCCCATTTCAGCCTCACCCGGGTGTCAGCTGGAAAGGCGAGGCTCTTCCCTTCTTCGTCAATCTCCTCGCCCTTGAAGAAGGCCAACTCGTCGATTGGGAAGTCAGCCCGGTGTCGCAGCACCTTCCCACGAACCTCGTTGAAGATGTCTGTGGTGGTGTTGGCTGAGGCTACTACGATGGCGTCCTGGAACATGTTTGCTCCCACCAGCCACTCTGCCCCTTGTGCTCGGGCAAAGCAGACATCACGTTGGTGGTTCCTCTTGGTCTTCTCCAAAGACGCCTCAGCCCGGGCAACGTGCAGATCAGCTTCCAAGACCCTCTCCTTCAGGGTGTTTAGCTCATGCGGAGTCTTCTCTCTGTCAAACTCTGCCTTCTTAGCTCGGTCCTCTGCACGGCCGACCTCCTCCTTGGTAGCTTGAATGCCGCTCTCCTTCTCTAGTTGAGCTTTTTCAAGCTCTTCCCTCAGCTCGTTGACCTTGCGGGCCAACTCATCAACTCGGCTTTTCGCTGACGTCGCCCGGTTAGCCATCTCTGAGCTCTACAAACGACTGACCTCGTTAGCCAAACTGGCTTTCTCAGAGGCCAGTTGTTTGTAGTTCTGTTGCAGCTCGCAGTTCTGCACCCGCGCTTCTTGTTCGCACTCGAAGAGTGCGACGGTATAGCTGAATGCCTGCCATATTTATTCACTCGTCAGTTTATAGCACAAAATGATAAAATACAACAATGAGCTCGGCAAGTATACTTACATCCATCAGTTTCAAAAGAGCAGCATGACCTTCATGCTGTTAAACGTGCCCCTTAGCACGTTGCCGATCTGCAGGAGGCACAAAGCTCTGCATACCCTGTACCATTGTGGCCTGACAATCAGTTCTTACATAACTGAAGCCATCCGGGTAGGCAATCCTTGGCCTCACTACAGAAGACGAGGCAGGTGCTGCTTCAGCGACCTCACGTGCTGGCCCCTGGGGCACGTTAGCAGGCCACGCTGCAACGGTTGAAGCGGGCTAAGATCTTGTACTCGTCCTTCCCTGGATGAGGGGAATGTCATCCTCAGCGTCAAAGTCCTCTCGCACGCGCCTTCTTGAACTGGAGGGCGCAGCTTCAACTCTCTGCTCGACACGTGGTCTTGGTGCCGAGCTCGAACTTTGGTGCGACGAACTGCGCCCTGGTGCAGCAAGTGGCCGCTCGTCAAAATGAGTTTGACGTTGGGAACCGGACTCAGCTCCACGGTTCCTTGAGCCTTATGATCGTTGACGCTACCTTTCCAAGATGCTGCTTATTTCTCCTGCACAAACAAAGGCATAAGACTCAGATCGGCTAGAAATCCTAGCATGCTATAGAAATATACCTTCACCATGAAGGTTTGCCACGTCGACAAACCCAAGTAATACGATTTGCTTTGGGGTAACCAAGGCCTCTAAATCCACCAAACCCCTCGCCTTAACATGATCGAGCAGCCGGTTCTTCAGGTCGACATCACCAACAGTCAGCTGTGGGTAGTTCATATAGGCGTTCGGTGTACGCCACTCTGATAGACGGGCGGCGAGCTGGTTATTGATTCTTTCAGTTCGTGCATCACGAACGAAGACAAACTGTTTCTTCCACCTCGCCACCTTATTTCTGATATTGGTGAATATCATCATCTTCTCTCTCTCGGAGATGTAGTACCATCTCGTTCCACTGGTGGACG